GCCACGAAGGGGGAAAAGAAGGATTTGTCTCCATGAGTCTGCAGTTTCTGCACAATTAAAGCTCCTCCTGGGGTTATTTCGAGCTAATGAGCGTAGCTTTGACACCTCATTCTACATCAGCCAGCTGACCCCATTTAAAAATGAAAGACAGATCTCCAGAGCACAAAGAGCTTTATCTATTCCACAAAGCAAACGGGATTTTGCGGCCCCCACCTCAATTTATTCCCGACAACGAGCGCCGCACGAAACAACAGCTCGACGTGCTGTGTTCCTGATGAAGAAACACCCCGCGGACCTTAAAAAGCTGAAAGAACCACGGGGAGACTCCGCAGCAGCGAAAAATGAGCAAAACCACGGCGAGAGCAGCCGGGGCCGGCCTGGCAAGCGCCGGTACGGAGGGGCGCTCCCGGAGCGGGGAAACGCCAGCACGCCGTGATTTGTGCCGAGATAAGCCAAGGAAAACCAGGTTCCCACATAGCCCCGTCACCGCCGCTCGCTCCCGGAGGGCCTCGGGGCCTGTGACAGCGGGGCCGGCCCGAGCCCGCGGCGCCGGGAGGCGGCGGCGGCCTCCGGCTCCCCGCCCCGCCGCCCCGGTGGCCGAGCCGGCCGCGTCCCCGCGCCCTGCCCCTCGCTGCGCTCCCCCGGCGCTCGCTGCCCTCACCTGCCCTGGCTCCCCTCGCCGCCCTCGCCCCGGTTGTGGCCGCGGGGCAGCCCCGGCCCCGCTTCCTGCGCGGCCCCTTCCGCCAGCGCCGCCGCTTCCTGCGCCGCCGCTTCCGCTTCCGGCCGCGCTTCCGGGCCCGCCCCGCCGCCGTGAGGGGGCGGCGCCGCGCTGAGGGCGCTGAGGGCTCCGGGGAGCCGGGCTCGCTCAGCGCTGAGCCACAGGGATGGCAGTCTGTAAAAGTGCTCGGCAGTCCCAGGGATGGCAGTCTGTAATGCTCGGCAGTCCCAGGGATGGTGTCAGTAGGTAAGTGCTCGGCAGCTCCAGGGATGGCAGTCAGTAAAAGTGCTCGGCAGTCCCAGGGATGGCAGTCTGTAAAAGCGCTCGGCAGTTCCAGGGATGGGAGTCAATAAAAGCGCTCGCACAGTCGCAGGGATGGGAGTCAATAGGAGTGATCGGCATTTCCAGGGATGGGATTCAGTGGAAGTTCTCGGCACTTGCAGGGATGGGTGTTAATAAAAGTGCTCGGCAGTTACAGGAGTGGGCTTCAAAAGAAGTGCTCGCACAGTTGCAGGGAGGGGATTCAATAGAAGCGCTCGGCAGTTGCAGGGATGGGAGTGAATAGAAGCGCTCCCTCAGTTCCAGGGATGGGATTCAGAAGCTCGGCATTTCCAGGGATGGTGTCAGTAGGAGTGCTCGGCAGTCCCAGGGATGGGATCAGTAGGAGTGCTCGGCAGCTCCAGGGATGGGTGTCAGTAGGAGCGCTCGGCAGCTCCAGGGATGGGTGTCAATAAAAGCGCTCGGCAGTCCCAGGGATGGGTGTCAGTAGGAGTGCTCGGCAGTCCCAGGGATGGTGTCAGTAGGAGTGCTCGGCATTTCCAGGGATGGGTGTCAGTAGCCGCCCTCGCTCGCTGCGGTCCCGGCTGTGCCGAGCCGAGCACGCCGCGGGTGGAGCCCGAGCGGCCGCGGCTCCGCGAGGTGCCCGTGCCGGGCTGGGATGAGTTGGGCGTTCGGGTCCTTCCAGCACAAAGCATTGCAGGGTTCCGGGATCATCCAGCCCAGCTCCTGACCCGCACAGATCCCCAAAATCCCACTCTGGGATCTCTGAGCGCTGTCCAAACCCTCCTGGAGCTCTGGCAGCCTCAGGCTGTGCCCATCCCTGGGGAGCCTGGGCAGTGCCCAGCACCCTCTGGGGAAGAACCTTTCCCAAAATCCACCCTGACCCTGCCTGGCCCAGCTCCAGCCCTTCCTGTGTCCTGTCCCTGTCCCAGAGATCCGAGCTGCCCCTCGGGAGGAGCTGCAGAGCCCGAGGAGTCTCCCCTCAGCCTCCTCCAGCTGCACAATCCCAGTGCCCTCAGCTGCTCCTCCACGGCCTCTCCAGACCCTTCCCCACCCTCATGCCCCTCCTTTGGAGGCTCTCTGCAAGCTTTAGAAGTGATTTTCCCCGGAGAGTCTTCACCCTGGCCCCACACGTGTATTTGCAGCATTGTGCAGGTCTGCACTTAAGCCTTGTTTTAATCACCGTGTTTGGGTGGATCCCAGCAGAAATCACAATTCCCTCAACATTTTAAAGTCATGTTTCATGCAAGCCCCAAGGGATTGGGTGACAAGGCTCGTTCACCACCCAGCAGACTGCTGGTGAGATATTTTTTGTGAATGACAGCATGCAAAGACTCAGCTGCTGGTTCAGTGACAATCCCAGAGGAATCCACGACGCTCTGTGGCAGAGTAGGCATAACAAAATAAATTCTTGGCAATCCCTGTGGATTTTGCATGTGTCAACAGCATCACTGAGGTTGGAAAAGGCCTCAGAAGTCACCGAGTCCAACCTGTGACAGCAACACAGCATTAAAAACAGCAGAACATCCGAAAAATCAGCCCCAAAAATGGGACAAGTGAGGGTTCCTGTGGGAAGAGCAGAGCCAGGTCCAGCAGAGCTTGTCCTGCCCTCCCTCAGCCCAAGGCAGGGGACACAGCGGTGGCAGCAAGAGGAGATGGCCTGAAGGACACAGGAGACACTAAATGGAATTAAGGAATTTGGGCAGGGCCTAGGGGTTGAGCTGTCATTGGAACAGTCACAGAATGTGAATGGTGAAGTGGTTACAAGACAGACAGCAGAAACCAAAACCACCCCATTTGTTCCGAACAGAAACCCTGTGATTTATCCCACACATCAGTGGTTTGTGGATCTTTGAAGGGTTTGGGGTTCCTCCGTTTCTTTCTCCCTCCACTGCCATATGTGGGAAAATTTAGAATTTGTGGCACCCAAGGATATCTGAACTGAAACCCAAAGGAAAACAATCAGAGATGCTGAACAGTCATCAATAAAAATTCTGTTCTGGTCTTGACCAGCTGCAAAACAAAAGAGCATGTTGCTTTTGTTGTTCCTCATTTACTGCTGGTGGAAGCTATTTGGACATACACAGTTTATATTTTAGGGGGGGTTTCAGAATCCTGGTTCTCAGCACAGGTATTACTGAATCAAAAATAAAGAAACCTGAGAGAATCAATGCCTTCCTTTAAAAACCCAATATTTTGTTCCCCACAAGCTGTCAGTGCTTAGCAGCATCCCTAGGAGATGTTTTTAAGCTTTTCTCCTCTGAAGGAATGAATGTTCTCCATCCCAACGATGGTAAATCATGGGATGGTTTGGGCTGGGAGGGAGCTCAGAGGTCTCACTCCACCCCTGCCATGGGCAGGGACACTGCCACTGTCCCAGAGCTCCATCCAGCCTGGCCTTGGACACTCCTGATCACCAAACGAGACGTTAATTACACAACAAACAGGGAGCAAAACCTCAACATTCCAAAACTAAAGCTTCTAAGAGAAGATCTGAGCAGCCAAAGCCCTCAGGTGAGAATGGTGCCAGGGTAACCCCAGCCAGCTTTACTCCAGCACTGGCTTTGCTCTTGCAGGGATCCCACTGTCTGATTTCCAGATTTCATCACCTCTTGTCTTACAATGAAAAAAATGTTTTGTAGGACCTGAGGAAAGCCCCTCCGTGTCCCTCACATGTAAATGCATCAGCTATAAAGACACAGCAGGTATTTAAGTACCTTTCCAGCGCAGAGTTTTGCACTCTGATCTTCCCTGAGTGCAAGATCTCTTCTGTTTCCTATTCCACACCAGTATTTCATTTTCTGTCTTGCAGAACCCGACCATCAGCTCGCTCAGGCTCTGCTCGTTTTCCCTTCCCCACATTTCCCTGGCACTGCTCCATCCCACAGACCCGACTGGCCAGCCTGGCCAGCCACTCCAGCAGCATTTTCTGCAGGTGTCCCTTGCAGCAATTTGCAGGTGATGTTCTGTGCTCTGGTATGTGGCAGGAGCTGCTGTGCCTCCCTGCCTGGTGTGAGTGAGGGAAGGCGCCCAGCTGGGCAGGTCCTGCTCTCCTGCTGCTCCTGGCTCAGGGATTCCCTGTCAGGAATGATCGGGGGCACGCTGGAGTGCCAGCAGATGCAGGGGGGGTTTACACCTCTGCCTTGCAGCTGCTTGAATCACTCCTGGGGCTGCATGAGAATTTTGGTTTGGTGCACAAGCACAGCCCATGAAATATCCCAACAAACCAAAGCAGAGGGTGGGAATATCCGTGAGGCTGGAAGGCAGCAAATATCCACAAATCAGGTTTTTCTGACATCACGAGGAGACTTCAGAGATTCCCTTTGTTTTCTCAATCTGATCTTTGTTTTCTCATTTTTATCTTTTTCAGTCAGGGTGATCTGTTCCAGGAACTTCTTTAGGTTGAAGCCCCTGAGCTAGGAGGAACTTTTCTATTACCTTCCTCATTTTCATTCCTGCTCCTAATTGCTGGGACCTGGTTTCCAGATAAACAGAATTCAGGATAGGGCTGGATTTCTTCTGTGTCCAGTTGTTCCAAAATTTTCCTCCTGGCAGCCCAATAAGGGCAGTCATTCACAATTTTAATTCTGGGAAAATACATTCCCATGACCAAGTATTGAGTAAAAGACAAATTAGTTTAACAGTGAAGATAATCAGGATGTAAGAGCAGGACATAAATTTCTTTAGGTTCTGAAATTTGTCAAGTGAAAAGATTAATGAATGTTCACATTTAAATGACAGGATTTAACAAACTTCTACAGTCTTACATTTTACCAGATTTGTCTCATTTAAAGCAAAAAAAAAAAAAAAAAAAAAAGAGCCAGATTAGGGGGTAAATTGCAGTACATAAGGCCATGTAGTGGGATACAACTTTTGTATCCCAGCTTTAGATTTTTACCTCTGGACTCAGCCCCTGCTCCACCACAGTTTTCTGTAATTTGAGAAATACTTGTTAGTCGTGGATGCAATAAATTCTCTAGAAAGTTCACCATGGACAAAAAAAAAAGAGTGAAGGTTTATTTTAATAAACAAGTACATTGAGTAGCTGAACAACAGACAGAAACCAGAATTGTACAGAGTGGGATAAAAAACAAGCACTTAAAATTCAGCCCCAAAACTGGGAGACTCAGAGCAGTGCCTGGGAAAGCTGAAAACCTTTGGGGAAAAAAAATATCTGCTGAAGATTCTGGATAAAGGGAAAACAAAATTTGATCAACGAGGGGGAGAGACTTGGGGCACTGTCAGAGGATTTGAACTTCAGCCATGGAGACAAACATCCGAGGAAGGGCTGGTGTGCAGCAACAGGAGCAGTTGTGCTGCGGGGACAGGAGTGGCAGTCCCAGCTCTGGAGCAGAGCTGGCACTTCAGGGCAGGCTGGAGGAAAGGCAGGCACGGGCAGAGCTGTCCTCAGCACGCTCCTGCCTGCTTCATCTGCAGGGCCCCTCTGCTCTTCCTGCAAGGAAAAACACGGGCATTGCACACAGAATGCTGCACCAAAATCCTCTGGAGCTCTTGCTGACAGAGGAGGCACTGTAAATGTTCACAGCAGACATCAGGGCACTCATCTGTAAACAGCTTTCCTTGCAGAATTATACATGTTATCCATAAACCCAAGACATTGCCAGCACCACTTCCGAATTTTTGTGTGACCTGCATCGGGTGCAGGTGCTTTGTCAGGTCTCTGCTGCTCGTTGGACTCTTTCCTGTCCAACTTCACAGTTTCTGCTGGAATAGGAAGCTGCTCACACCTATACCAGGGTATTTTTTAGTGACTAAACCTTACAGTACCTGCAGCAGGTTCCTCACACAAATTGGAATAATTTTTTAGTGTTCAACTTCACAGTGCAAGTTGCTCCCACAAGTATTTGGGTCCGTTTTTGGTTCACTATTTTACGCTTCCTGCTGGAATAGGAAGTTGTTCACACAAATATCCAAGTGGTTTTTTATGTCTGACTTCCCAATTCCTGCTGGAATAGGAAGTTGTTCACACAAATATCCAAGTGGTTTTTTAGTGTCTGACTTCCCAATTCCTGCCAGAATAGGAAGTTGTTCACATACATATCCAATTAATTTTTTAGTGTCTAACTTCCCAATCCCTGCCAGAATAGGAAGTTGTTCACACACATATCCAAGTAATTTTTTAGTGTCCAACTTCACCATTCCTGCCAGAATAGGAAGTTCAGACCTTGAATATCTGGGTCATTAATTTTTAGTTGCCTATTTTACACTTCCTACCAGAACAGGAAGTTCTCACCCAAACATCACCATCATTTGTTCTTTAGCTCACTTGCACATCATCAGTGGGAGGAACAATCATGGTGTAAAGGCAAACCACAGCAGCAGAGGAGCACCAACCCTAAAGAAAGCCAGCACTTTTACGGGGTGGAAATCCCAGCTGCTGTGCCCATGGCAGCTTTTGGCTCCCAGGAGTGTGGGCAGCTCAGTACTCACAGCACAGCCTTGCAGAAGGAGCATTTGTTGTTGTAGGTTTTGCCATCAGAGCCGCAGTAGGGTTGGTAGAGCCTCTCACAGTAAATGGGCCTCCCTCTCTCCAGCCTCTTGTACTCGCTGCAATCCACCTGCAACGAGAACAGCCCTGAGTCTCACACCCTCTGGGCCACACAGGGGGAAACCTCACCAAAAAATGGCTTTATAACGTCAGGCTTAAGCCTGCTGGTGCAGCTCATCTGCTTGTTCCCGTGAGGAAAGTCGTAAGAATGAAAAGTCAGTTAACACAATAGTTTATTCTTGGGAGAAAAATAGGTTTGCACCTGCAAAACCAAGAAGTTGGTGCAATGAGGATCAGTGAAGAAGATGTGTAAACAATCCAAGAATAAAGAGGTGTGATGGAGGCACAAAATTCCATTTACTGACCAAGGAACTGACAGTGTATTGTTGTGCAGTCAGGTTTAACACAGCGCCTTTAGAATTCCTGTAAATATGAGCCAACTGAATAAAAACTGGCTTTTTCTGCATGAAGAAAATGAGCCCCGTCTGCTTTACTGTGCCACCTCCTCCATGCACAGAAATAATGCATATATTGAATTTTGGGGCATGCTTTGGGGCAGCACAGCAGGGAGGTGGCACCACCTCTATTGACAGAGGCTAAGCCCCAAAAAATGAAACATTTCTGCTCAGAGGTGAGACTGGGGCTGCCTGTGACAGGGATGGGCAGGAATGGGGTCCTGGAACAACACAGCCCCAGAGGAGCAGAGTGTTGGGGTTTTTATTATCTGATCACAACAATGAATAAATCCAGGTGGGATCAATTCCCATCCAGCCCTTCCTTGGACACTTCAGGGATGGGCTCCACCTCAGCCCTTCCATGCCTGACCACCCTTTCCATGGAGAAATTCCTGATAAATTGTGCAAATACAGGTCCAGCTCTGTGTGTGGATGAATTTCCTCTCCCCACCACTATCCACTCTGCCAGGACCTTCCTGCTCACCCCAGGAAGGATTTTTATTCCTTGGTGCCTCATTTTTCCAGACATTGACCCCAGAGTACTCAGAGAGAATGAAAATCTCTACAGGTACCTGATTTAGGAGCTAAAAGTCATTTAAAAAGCCTTATAGGGTCATCATCAAATAAATTTATTTATTTTTAATCTAGATTTTTCTGAGTTAAAATTTGTCCTTGCTCAATTTCTTGCCCAGAATGTCAAACAGGTGAAAACATCTGGAAGTTGTCAGGGTAATTCTATGGAAACCCCATATCCCAAACTCAGGAACTTTCACTGAAACCTCAATAAATTGGCAGCATTTAATTAAAGTTTCACATGCTTATTTTCTGACCTCATGTTATTATAACTTTTTACTTCATATTCTATATTTTTATCCAGAAAAAAAAAAAAAGGAAATCACTCACCTCATTCTGTGTGGCAGCATCTGCAGTGGAAACTGAACCACAAAAGAGAAAATGAAAAGCCAGAGTTAATGAACACTCAGGTGCAAACCAGGATGATTTCACTCAGCAGCTCTGAATCTTTTACCTCCTTAACTGTCAGCACTGACAGAGCTGTGCAGTGATTAGTGAGGTGTCAGAACCCATTGGGCAGGTGGGGCTTGCTGCATTATTTACCTTAGAACCTTCTGTCCCCTGTTGGGACAGCCTCTGCTGGAGGGAAATGGAGCCATTGTTCACCACAAAACCACTGAGAGCCCAGCAGCCAATATTATATTTACTGTTCATCATGTTATTTTGTGTTTAATGTCCAGGATGAACTGCTGGGGTTTAATTCCTGAGTTTACCAAGAGCTGTGTGTGGCTGTGAGCAAACCACACGTCCCTTCTATATCTGTGTTTCCTGTCAACAATGAGAGTTAAACACAATATTGACTGTGAATAACGATGATAACACAACTGGGCTCCTAATCCCGCGTTAGGAAGTGTTGCCCTTGTTTCAATATGGATTTTAAGGTGACTGGCTCCTATTTTTACCTCATTCCTCTGGGACAGAGCCCTGTCCTCAGGTGGGGCTTCAAGGAGCTCCTTCCAAACAATGCTAATTACACCTCCCACAAAGTAATCAGCTGCCTGGCGTGGCTCCAGGCTGCTGACACATTTCTTACTTTCCTTAGGAATGTATTTGTGCCTCTGCTGTCCCATAATCATCATCCTGGGGCTTCCAGGGGGTAACAGGACCAGGGAGAGATTTCTGGGCAGAAGGAGCAGGAATGTGCTCTGGAGCAGAGCTCTAGCACTTGTTTCTTTGATTAAATTTGGATTTTTTTTGATATTTAAAGGTTAAACTTTCCAAATTTGTTCTGGAGCAGAGCTCTAGCAATTGTCTTTTGGAATAAATTTGGCTTTTTTTGATCTTCAAAGGTTAAACTTTGCACAAAAACTTCCCTTCATAAACCTGTTTACACCCTCACATCAAATACATTCGTTCAGTATAAAGAAAATGAGCAGAAATAAAGCTCCAGGTCAGGTTTCCATCTCTGTCACCAGAGGCTGACTGAAATTTCATTATTCTGGAATTGGATTCGATTTATTCCACTTCCCCCCAACCACTCACATCTGATTTTTTCCTCTGGTAAACTTTTAGGAGCCACTCTGCAAATGGAGAATGCAAAAAAGGTGTGGCTCAGAAAGTGCTGATTCATGAAGTTTTCAAGCAGACAAGATAAACCAGAAAGTTCAAGGAAGAGATTTCCTGGAATTCTCATGGAAGGAATATTTATTTATTTTCCTGCAGCTGATGAAACACTGAATTATTTCATCACATTTCATTTAAACTGCTGTTTTTCATAAAAATTTTGGGGTTGAGGCAAATTTCAAAGCAACCTCTTCAGAGCTACTCAAAAGATTCTTTTGTTTCATAATTTTGCATTTAACATTTTCATTATTTATTTATTTCATTTATATTATATTATATTATATTTATATTTATTTCATTTGCTTCTTTAATGTTCATAATGTTTTTAAACTTCTATACTACCTGCAGAGGTGTGGAGTCTTTCAGTTATTTTAAATGCACTTATCTTTCTCTAAAAATGCATTTTTACTGCAAGATTTTAGTAAAAATAAAATTGCCAAGTAAAGGCTGAAGAAACTCCTCCCAGATCCCTTTTTTTTAAAGAAATATGTCCCTCAAATCTCTCTGCAGCCTGGAAAAATAGGATTAAAAAGATGCAATTCCCAGCTGTTTTATGTGGCCTGAGCATCATCAGCTGCCCCCTGCTTGGTCAGCTTGGCAGGGGCAGGACCTCACCAGCTCCCAGCTCCCTTCCCAGATGGAAATTTAAAAATAAATAGATAAAACCAAGTGGTTCTGAGGCATCACAGCTCTTCTGAGCCACAGAACACAGCTCTGAGCTACGCCCAGCAAGGAGCAGCTTCCACCCACCCCAGCCCCAGCTGGGTAATAAACTATTATGGTGCTAAATAATAGGATTTTAAGTAGAAAATCCCATTTATAGTTTCAGGCAGTGCAGGAACCAGCTGAGAACCCTCCAGGAGGAGAAGCCCGAGGAGGCCAGGGAGGTACTCACGTGCCAGGCACAGAGCTGCCAGCCCCAGGAGCACCAGGGTGACCTTCATGGCTGTCCCAGAGCAGCTGAGCTCCCCGCAGTGTCCCCACTGTCCCACGGCCCTGTGGCACCATTTATAGGCAGCACTGGTGATGAAATGCCTGCAGTAATTAGGGAAGGTGGTGCCAGGGCAGGGTCAGTGGGATGTGTCCTGGGCACGGCAGGGCTGCTGATGGAGCAGGGATTGTCCTGCCTAAGCCCAGCCTAATTAACTGTTCCAGCCCCAGCAGCCGGGCTCTGACTCAGGGCTGGCTGCTCTGTTATTGCCATGGGGACTCAGGGAAGAGTAATGCTGGCTGGGTGTTTGCCAAAATATTCATCCCAGAAGGGCTTCATTCTTATTCTTTGGGGTGTTTTGGAGCTGCTCCTGAGCTGTGGTTGGAGCTGAACTGCTTGTGGCCATGCACTGAGCCCTTCAGCTGCTCTGGGAGATCTGTGTTCTGCTGGAAACCCTTCACACCCAGCCCAGAGCATCCCCAGGGCTCCTTTTCCTTCCAGGGAAAGAGATTCCTCTGCTCCCATTTCCCCCATTTCCAGCACAACAGGAGGGATTCCTTAAACAAACCCTGCATTTGTTGGTGGCTTAACCAAAAGGCAGCAATTTCTGTCTTTTATGACAGAGTTCTCCCAAAGGACCCTCAGATCTGAGGCTTCGTTTTCATAAATCCAAAGTGATGTGGAGAGTGGAGGTGACAGTGTGATTTCCACCCCTCCGTCCAGAGCTGCCTTCTCTTAGTGATTTACCATCTAAACGTGCAAAAACCTCAACAAGAAAAATCCCTGCACACCACCTGAATTCCCAGTATTTCAGTGATCACCTTCCCTCACTGCAGGGTTGCCCAGGGCTTTCTCCCTGTGCAGGATTGGGGCCAGAGGTGCTCATTCCAGTAAAACAAGGGCCTGAAGGCTCCTGCAGAAAAGATTTCAATAGGTCAGGTCAGCCTTGGGCCCCTCTAACTCATCCCAAGAGGGATATGAATGATTTTGTCTTAAAGAATATAGGTAATTAATCAATGTTTAATTTCTCATCACTTAACAGGACAAAAAACATAAATGCCATCAAATCTGAATTCCAGGATGGGCAAAGATCCAGTTGGAGCTGGAAGCTTGGAATTTTATTTTTTGAATGCCCTTCAGTGGTTTTGTTCTAATTTTTTTCTTTTTCCTTAATTTGGATATTTGTTCCTGCGAGGCTGAGGACAAAAGGCAGGGTGGGGTTGCACTGGGCTTGCTCTGGGTCCCCTGCTTGGGGCTGTGGGTGACTTTGTGTCCTGGGGAGCTTTTCTGGAGAAAATCCTGGCAAGGAGCATGCAGGAACTCGTGGGGAGTATTCAGGACATGTCCGTGGTTGAGGGACAATTATCAGCAATGAGGCAACAGGAGCAAAACCCAAACTGTGCCGGAAGCTCCTCCTGATCTGGAAGGTTTGGAGCACACACAGCTTCCGGGGGTGTCCTGACCCTAAAACTGCAGCCTGGCAGATCCTGAGCCTGGAATGAGGAAAGGGCCCAGCCCAGTGCTCCCAGTGTCCCCTGGAATGCAGCCCCAGCATCCATCCCATCCCATCCCATCCCATCCCATCCCATCCCATCAATCCTATCCCATCCCATCAATCCCATCCCATCAATCCTATCAATCCCATCCCACCAATCCCATCCCATCCCATCAATCCTATCAATCCCATCCCATCCCATCAATCCCATCCCATCAATCCTATCAATCCCATCCCATCCCATCCCATCCCATCCCATCCCTCTCAGGGAATACAAATCCTGCTCCGTTCATGTAGGGAGATTTTCCAGCTCTGCACTTGAATTTCAGTCCATAATTCCCAAGGTGTCCCTGGCGAGGCTGGAGCTGCTGCTCTGGGACAGTTCTGGGCTCCCTGGCAGGGAAAGGCACTGGAATGCTGGAGCAGAGCCCGTGAGGGAGCACCAAGTGCTGAGGGGGCGAAACACAGAGGAAAACTTGGGAGAAGGGGTTGGCTCCATTTGGAGAGGAAGGAAACAGAGGAAACAGGAGCCAGAGCCCTCCTGGAGCTGCAGAGTGAAAGGAAGAGGGAACAGAGCAAATTGCAGGGAGAGAAATTCCAATTAGATGGGAGCAAAACAAATTTCACAACAAGAGGAGTCAACCATGGAAAGAGGTTACCCACAGAGATCCCTGGAGATAGCAAAAATGGGTCTGTCCTAAAGGGGCCACGCAGGGCGGGGGCACCCAGTGACCTCCGCGGGCCATCCCAGTGCAGCTGGCTCTGCCATTCCCACAGGGGAATGTCAGGTGGTGCTGGCATTTTCGGGACCTTGTGGTGTCTTTGTCCTCGTAAATAAATGTTTGACAAAGCAAACACGGGCGGTGAAGCACCGCAATGGAAAAAAAGTTCATTGGAAAACAAATGTTGGGATGTGTATAGGGACAGCTGCTTCCCCAAGCTGGGTGAGTGAGGATTAATTGCTGAGCTCATCCTGAAATTGAGGGGGAATATGGTAAATAGTTTATATTGAAGAATAATTGTGAGTGCAATTTTGACATCATCAGCAAACCCGTGAATACCTGTAAGTTACTTGTGGAACTCCTGTAATTTTATACCTTTGCCATTATATCTTGGTTTTTTCCCAAATTCTTATCCCTCGAAGTTGATCTTTTCAAGAAGAAAAAGCAATTCCATGCTGTTACACGTGATAAAATATTAGTGTGCATTTTTCTGAGGGTAAGAAAATTTTCCCAATTATTATTTATTCCAAATTTGAGATTGCTTTTCATTTGGAGCCCTGGTTGGAGCACCACTGGGATGCCAAAAATGCTGCTGCAGCAGGTCATTAGTTAAGTGCATGGCAGGATGTTCCCTGGCTGCATTCCAGAGCAGGAACCTGCTCCCACTCATCCGTGGAGAGCCTCCCATGCGGGGCATCCGCAGAGATGATGAGTAGCACGTGGAAAAGGTGAAAAACCACTTTGTCACTGCGAGGGAGGCTCCAGCCAGGGCTGCTGCAGTCACAGGGTCCTCCCCTCCCTGGTATCCCGGGGTGTTTTCAGCCCCAGGCCCAGCGAGGGTGGGTGGCTCAGGGTTGTCCGCCCAGGTGCAATTAAAGCATCAGATTTTGAAGTCTTGCTCAATGCAGGGTTTGAGAACCAAGGGCTGCCTTTGTTCAGGCTGTGCCACAGCCTTTGGGTGTTTGCCTGGGAAAGGGGATGATGCCTTCAGTTTGAGCTTTGATATTTCCCAGACTCTGCACTGCCCTGGTACAGAACTCTGAACTCCACATCAAGTGTCAGCAGCTCTCCTCACAGCTCAGGCACACAGAACAATCCTTTTCCAGCCCAGAACCAAGGACACCGCTGCAGCTTCAGCCCAAAAAGTGCCACCAACAGGGAATGGAGGAGAGCAATCTGGGAGGGTGGGACTGCATCAGCTGGAGCTGGAACTGGACACTGAACCCCAGTATGGAATGGACCAAAACTGATCAAAGAGTGAGAACTCGTGGCCAGGAGTCCACCTGGGGTGGAGCCACGGCCGGGCTCCTGCACTGCCCGAGGTGTGTCCTGTGAAGGTTTTTAATAAAACCTATTTATTCCTGTAGCTCTGCCCAGCCTCTGTCCCAGGCAGCCTCTGAAGGCATCAGAGAGTTCCCTGTTTTCCACCCCTGTGGGAGATCAGAACCATTCCTTCAGCACTGTGGGTGTCAGGCCAGGCCAGAGCCCTGCTGAAGGTCTCGTGTGTTGTCTCAGAAACTAAAAATAAACCCAACAGGATGTGCAAAGGCTGGAGCTGATCTTTGTTTTCCTTGTCCCTCCTGATCTCTTTGGGACACGGTGCCAGGATTGGTTCTGGTATCCTGCAGGCAGCTCGGGGATCCTTTGGTTCCTGTGTAAGATTGATGCCTCAGGTTTTGGCTTTTATATTTTTCAGATTCTGTGCTGCTCTAGTGACCATTGATGGTTCTGAGCTGATTCTTCACAAAAACAAAGCATTAATGGCTTAACACTTCCTCTGAATGGGCTTTGAAAAGCACTGATCTGAAATCGCCTTAAGATGCAACTTCCAGGTGTTTGGACTTTGCCCTTCTGTCACACCAAAGTCAATCAAACTGACATTTCAAGAAAGGCCTCAAGGCCTTTTCATGGTTCACAACAGGGTTGGAGGATGTGCATTGGTTTTCCCTTTGTTAAAAGTAAAACGTTACTACAGGAGAAGCTACAACTTAGGAAGAAGAGGAGTGGGAGGAAGATTCAGCATGGAGGAGGGGTGGATATGAAGCATTTGGAGCTGAAATCTGTGTTCTCCCCCAGAACCCCTAATGGAACATCAGCTTTGTCCCCCTTCTGCTCTCAGCAGGTGCCTGCCTGCCCAGCTCAGGGGCTGAAGCTCTTGGAGAACAGCAAATTCCTACCGCGACCAATTAGTGCCTCATTAAGGACACCGAGTCTTTATCTGCCAGCATTCCTTGAGCCGAGCAGCACCCACAGAAAGGCCCGGGGGGAATTAGTCAGGCTCTGCTCAGAGCAGATTTCGGGAGGTGTGGTAGCAGAACCCAAAGCCAGGGGTTGAGTGATGGGGATGAGTGGAAAGCTGGGGGAGCTGCCCCTTCCCAGGGAATGGTGGGGCCTGGGAAAAGGAGCAGGGCAGCAGAAAAATCTGGGGTTTAGACCAGTCAATGACTCTTCTCTCTCAGGAATAAATTAAATCTAAAATTTTATGTCAGAAGCTTGGATTTTGCCATCTAAAGGGGTTTTTTGGGGGTGTGGGGGGAATTTTGTACATTGTGCAGCCTGAGCTGTGCACTTGGCATTTCCAGAGGCTTCCAGATTATTTACAGTGCAAAAGGAGATGAAAGAAGGAAGAGAAGCCCGGGGGCTGACTGACACATTAATTTATGTTCTTGGATGGATGGAGCATGTTAGAACGCGATCACCTGTGCGTGGAGCCACCACAGTGAATATTTTTTGCTTTTTATCCAATCTAGGCAGAGGTGGGAGCCTGACAATTCCAGAGGAGACATTCACAGGCACTTGGATCCATGGAGGGCCCAGGGAATGGACAATTGGGGATCAAAGCCAACTTCATGGCTTAGGGAGCAGCCCCTGCCAGTGAGCTGATTCCTGCAGAGAAAGGGGCAGCTCCGAGCTGAGCTTTGTTATTTTCCTGAATAAACTCAGCCAGTGGCTTCCCCCTGGAGCCTCTCTCATTTTCTGGCATCGTGGCACAGAAAGGCACATTCTGAAAGGCAAAGATCAATTTAAGCTTTGTCAGGATACAAAATTTAGCTGAATATTCCAAGAATGGAGGCTGTGCTGGGCCCAAGATCAGGAGAGGTTTCAGGGATTCAGCCAAGGTTTAAACCCTGAGGGTCAGGAAAGTTCTGTGACCTCTGAACCTCAGAGCCCTCAAATCTGGGGCAGGTGGGTTCAGTTCAGAGCTGGAGAGCACAAAGAAGCCCAGAGCTCTCCCTCCTGCAGGCAGGGCTCAGCAGATCCTGCTGTCACACCCTGCTCCCTTGGCTGGCCCATCCTCTGCACTTTTACAGGCTGGGAGTTTGGTATTATTAATTAGTAATAATTCATTTGCCCTGCAGACATTGAGACAGAAATAGTGTCTGATCCTCGGGTACAAAAGTGAATACTGACACAAACCATTCTTAAAAGACCACAAATAAACCAAAATTCTTGTTTTCAGGTGTATTTATTATTAGCTCCTTTGTAAACAAGCACATAAGTTGCCTTTATAGCTAAAATAAGACATGTAAACTTAATATTAATAAATACCAACAGGACTTGTAAATAAGTTATCAGCAGTTTTCTGAAATATCAGATACTTCACACATTTCAATGTCTGAATATCTTAAATTACCACCCATGGCTAAGACTGGGAAAAAGGAAGCATGGTAGCAAAGAAAGACTTTAATGTCAGTGATTCTGTATCAGAGGGTAAGGCCTGAATCCTCAAAGATATTTCAGAGTATTTTGTCCTCCTGGGAGTCAGAGCTCAGTGTTTTGGCAAAGGATCCATCCCTGGCAGTGTCCAGGGCAGGCTGGATGGAGCTCTGAGCCCTCTGGGGCAGTGGGAGGAACAGAAGAGCTTCAAGGTCCTCCCAACCCAAACAATTCCAGGATTCCATGAAAAATACAAACATTCCAACTCCTGCTGCTGCTTCCTCCCCGAGCTGAGCCCTGGCTGTGCCAGGAGGAGTTTTCCCTGAGGTTCAGAACACACCAGCACACTGTGGGGCACGCTGGCAACGTGGGCTACAAAAATCTCTGCTCTAAAAGTCTGATTTTGTGAGATCACTAACATTCACACACCCCAGCTCCCAGCTGGGGGATTCCATGCAGGGGGTGCAGGTCCAGCTGCCCTGGGGGTTCCTGTCCTGTGCAATTCCACAGCAGGAGATGCCCCGGGCACAGCTGGATCAGAAAGGCCCCAGGAGGAGGGGAGGCTGTTGGGGAGGTGAGAAATGCAGCTCCTGGCTCCTTTCTGCTCCTCAGGGATGCGAGGAGGCTCAGAGCTGCCTTCACACCGGTGCTCCAGTGGGCTCCATGGATCCCTCATGGAGAGTTCTCCAGCTGGGCATCAGCCCTGGGCACAGAGAGCTGACACAGGGCAGCAGGAAACATCCCCAGGGCTCTGCACCTGCAATTCCTTCTTTACCCCCATGTCCTGGAGGGTGGGGATGGCCTGGGGACCCCAGCCCAGCTGCTCAGGCAGCCAGGGCTTTCTGTGCTTGCACAGTCCCACAGAAATAACACAAATAAATATTAAATAAGCAAATAATTAAGCAATTAAATAATGGAATATTCAAACAGTTCTTTCAGGAGGTGACTTTCCAAGTAAGTTAACACATGCAGTGGTTTGAACAGCAACTGCCATCCACTGGTCTTGCAAAGTCAATAAATAAATAAATAGGAAATAAATAAAATAAATATTAAATAAATAGCAAATAAATAAATAGCAAATAAATAAATAAATAGGAAATAAATAAAGGCACAATAATAATATAAGGACATACAATAATAGCTGCCAGCAACATGTCAAAATCATGTTAATGTAACATGATGGATGCTAAAAGTGTAACTGGAATCTGGGGATTTAGGAGCTGCCAAAATCAGGACCACATTCAACTGTTACAAAAAAAAAAAAAAGAAGTTATGGTTTCTTAAGGATCTCAAATGGAAACTTTTCTTCTCATTGTGCTTCTGTTCTTGTGCTAATTCATTCTTTGCTTTCTCTAGGAGCACTGGGCCACCCTCCTTACTGGTTATCTGTGAAATAACATCAGAAATTTCATTTCCATGTCAATTTACATCAGAATTGTCTCTGTTCTCCCTAGGCAGCAGTGGCAGCCCAGCCTGGCTGGACCCTTACCTGCAGAGCGAGGACCACTGGCTCCAGGAGCTGAGGTAGCAGCAGTCCCTGGCCTGCACCCACACCTCTGCTGGCCCGGGGGCTGGCAGCTGCACCCACTGCTCCTCCGTGTCGTACACCTGGGGACAGACAGACAGCTCCTTCAGCGGGGCAGGGGGACAGGGCCACCACAAGGCACCAGGAAGGGTCACTGAGCCCCCACCAGAGCCTGCTTCCCAAAAGCTCCAACGGGTCCCAAAGTCCTGGGGCTTGGGAGAAGCTGAGCTCAGCAGAAAGAGCTGAAAAACTCAGGTACCACTGAGGGGTGTCCAAAGTGACCCAAACCCACTGAAGGGGTGTCACAAAGTGATCCACACCCACTGAGGGGTGTCCAAAGTGACCCAAACCCACTGAGGGGTGTCCAAAGTGACCCAAACCCACTGAGGGGGTGTCACAAAGTGACCCAAACCCACCGAGAGGGGTGTCACAAAGAGATCCAAACCCACTGAAGGGTTGTCCAAAGTGATCCACACCCACTGAGGGTGTGAATGACCCAAACCCACTGAGCTTGGTGCTCTAAATGACCCAAAGCCACTGAGGGGGTGTCCCAAAGAGATCCAAACCCCCCTGAGCTGGATGTTCTGAATGCCCCAAACCCCCTGAGATTGGAGTTCTAAATACCACAAACCCCCTGAGCTGGATGTTCTGAATGTCCCAAACCCCCTGATCTGGATGTTGTGAATGACCCAAACCCCAAACCTAAACACTCATTAAACAAAGGGGTCGTTTGTTAATCTGGGTTTTTCTCTTTTTCCTTCTCCTCCCAGAGCAGGACCCCCAAACTCAGAAGCTGCTCCCCTCAGTCCGGCTGGGCTGGCTGGCTCAGGAGCATCCCCAGCCCCTCGGGCAGGAGCCGGGCTGAGCCCGGGGGAACGGCCCCATCTGCTGGACGGGCTGGATCCCATCCCCAGCGGGAAACGCCCTGGTGCCTTTGGTTTAGCCCGGACAGCCGGGATAACCCGGGATAACCCGGGATAACCCCTCCTGCTGCCTGCCCTGTCAGTGCTGGACAGGAAGGGCAGCACTGGGGGCACTGCCAGCTGCCCTCTGGCTTTCCCAGCTCTTCTCCAAGGCAGGCCATTGTGTGTCCAAGAGCAATTTGGGCACACATTGGAGATTTAACCCTGAGAGAGTTAATTAACTCCATTAATTAACTGGGAATCGGGGGGCAAAGACCAGACTCTCCAGATGAGTCACTGACCTCTGAATTCCAATTCACCTATAAAGTCTGAGCTGCCCAGGGATGAACAACACAGGAGGAAATTCGTGTCACAGATCCTGGGGTTCTGGGTTTGGAAATTGGGATTTTCCCACATGAGGCCCTGCACAGCCTCCTAATGAATTAGTAAACACAACCATGCAATGCTGGACAGGATTTTCTGTCCTCAGCTGCCTCAGGGATCTTCCTGCTCAGGGACCTGGGAAAGGCTTTTTCTGCCAGGATAGAATTTGCCACTTTTGGGGCTCAGCAGCATTTTTTAAATTTTAGTTCATTATTCTTACATACAAAACTTAAATTATTTCTACTATCCAGGCAAGAAAATTGTGTGTCAAATGTTGTGTTTCTACCTGGTATCTGTGTCTCTTTGTGCTTTTAACTTTGACCTTGAAAGTCAAAGGGAAGTAGGAGTTTGGGGTGCTCCAGGTCCTGGGGTATGTCCAGGTCACTGTTCCATTGCTGGCCACGTACTGGCACTGGGGGGGATCAGGCTTTACTGAAAGAGAAAACACAGAGGGAGTTAATTCATGTTGACACTGAATGTCAGCTGTTGGGGTGTTAGTGGTGATAGTTTTATGGGAATGAGCTTGGGGAGGCTCCAGGTTAAGAGAGGAGTAGCCTTGAGGTGTGATAGCTGCCTTGGGTGCTTTTTATGGAAAACTAAGCACATTCCTAGGCTCAGTCTGGATAAGATCCTTCTTTTTTTTGGCCTGGAGGGGTGCAGAGCGCTCTGCTGGACACACAGGAATATCTTCAGCACCTGCTGACCATTAATGCATTCAGGAAAACCTCTGTTTCTGTAGGATGCTGCCTCATTTTCCTGTGCCCTGTGGCCCTCTCATTCCTGTGCCTTTCTGGGAACCTGCCCTGGCTGCCCATCTGGGAATGGCTGAGCAGTTCTCAGAGGGGAGCCTGCTGGATTATTCCCTGCCTTGTCCCCTCCCCACCACATCCATCCTTTGGGGACACTCAGGGACCTGTGGGTGTTGGGGCACTGGAGGTCACAAGCCAGGAAGATGCTGCTGCTTCACTTCCTCATCCCTTTCTGTCCTGGCACCCCCTGTTCCTGTAACTGGGGCTTGGTGGACATTTACAGAGCACGGGGCAGGGATTCCCAGGGCTGAGCCCTGACTCCCACTGGCAGCAGCAAAACAAAGCTCAGAATCAGCCCCCGCTGCTGGGCTACTCACTGATGTCCCTGATGAAGAAGCTGGCGCTGTAGTTCTCATACAACACCTCATCAATGGCCTCCAGGGTGATGTCGATGGGCTGCTGCTCCTCAGCAAAGGGACAGAAGCTCTCCTTGTGGCACTGGGCTGTGTAGGTGGTCAGGGCCCCCTCGGTGACAGCCACGGGGCTGCTGCAGGACACATCACCCTGGGGGCTGGAACAGAGCAGGGAGAGGCACTGGGAATGCTGGTTGTCCTGGGAATGGGCTGCCAACAGCAGACTGTGTTTGGTGAGGAAATGGTTTGGTTTGCATGGAGTTTGTCTGCTGCAGAAAAGGCTCAGTGGGAGCTGCCACATTCCCAGTGCTGTGGGATGGATTAATGCCAATTCTCAGCTTCAGCAGGAGGAATTAACGTTTAAACCTAAACCAGGATCTCTCAATCCCACCATCCCGTGGCAAGCTCCAGTTTCCTGCTTTGTCCCTTTGCCCTCTCCCAAACCCTGCTGGAGGAATGAGGGCTGAGAAGCCTCCACTGGGAAACAAACACCAAAAGCTGCCAGAGCACCACCTGAGCCTGGCCCTGGTGCAGCTCTCAGCCAGCTGCACCCCTGGGCAGCTGTTTCTCCTCCAGCAGGCTGGGGTGACCTTTGCTGGAGCACTCCATGTTTTGGAGAACCCCTGGGGCAGTGGGAGGCAGGAAATCCCCCCAGGGTTCCCAGCACAGGTTTCTGCAGGGTTCCTCAGCCCAGCCTTGGCAGGGCCATGTGCTCTGCAGTGGGGGCAGCCTCCCACTCCACCCTGCACTGGGAGCTGTGGTTCTTTCTGGCTTGGCTCCACTTCCTCTCTGCCCTCCACCGACTGTTCTGCTATTGCTTAAGTTACCCAGTGGCTACTCCAGCCCACTTGGACTCATTCCTTTCTCAAGGCTTTATTAATTTCTGAGTGATTTCCATGCCCTTATTAAGTTAACTTTGTCCCAGTAATGACTCGAAATATTTTGGGGATGTTCAGACTTGGAAGAGAGATCTCCCCCCATCTGCGTGCCCCAAGAGCCTAAAATCCTACAGAGAAACACCAAGGGCTGCTCTGTGGGGCTGGGAAGGAAAATACAAACTCTTACCCTTCCAGGCTTCTGATGGTGAACTTCACATTTGGGTTATAGTCTGTCATCCAGGAACATGTGAAAATTCCAGAGTAGTTCTTTGCCTCACACTTCAGAAATGTCCTGTTGGGCTCTGGACAGAGAAAGACAGAAACCAGGAGTTATGCACTCTTGTTTGCCAAAATGGCCAAGGCAGAGAGAAACAATTCCTGAATTCACAGATTCCCTGGCAGCACCATGAGGGACTCAAATGTGAGTGAGGTTCATGCAGAAAATGCAAAACATGCCAGGCTTGTCTCCTGAGCAGCCCAAATGACAGCGCTTCAAACCTGGGCCAGGCCCTGCTTCTGCCAAATCCCAGAATCTGGAATCTCCTGAGCTGGAAGAGACCCACAAGGATCATGGAGTCCGACTCACAGCTCCAAAATCCCACCCTGGCATCCCTGGAGCTCTGCCCAAACTCTCCTGGAGCTCTGGCAGCCTCAGGCTGTGCCCATCCCTGGGGAGCCTGGGCAGTGCCCAGCACCTCTGGGGAAGAACCTTTCCCAAAATCCACCCTGACCCTGCCTGGCCCAGCTCCAGCCCTTCCCTGGCTCCTGTCACATAGCCCTGCTTTTCCAAACCAGGAATTCCTCCCATCCCTGCACCCCACCACCCTAGAGAATCCCAAACAAACCCCACAGAGCAGTCCTGTGCTGCTCATCACTGCATGCCCAGAGCCACAGCAGGGATGATTTTCCTTTGCAGAGAACACCTTTGCAAGGACATTCCCAGCTGCTGGCAGAGCCTGCATCAAGCTGAGCAGGACAATCCCAGCGTTTGGGGCCGTACCCTCGAAGGCTCTGAGGATGTCCCTCATCATGTGGCCGCTGGGGCTGATCCTGGCCATGAGGAGGAGGATGGAGCTCAGCACCCTGTGGCTCTCCTCGCTCACACAGCTGTAGTTGCCGGCGTCCGGGAGCTCCTTCACTGCCACTCTCAGAGTCTTGCCTCTTTGTTTTCCTTCCTGGAAAGGACTGGAGTCCTTTCTCCAGTAAACTGCCTCCTCGGGGCTGGCACAGCTGAGCTCCACCGTGGTGGCCGGGGCCTCGGCGTCCCACTGGGAGTCGATGACAAACACTGGGAACGGAGAGCAAACCTCAGACCAGGAGCTGGGGCTGAGCCCTTCCTGCAGCCCTGCCTGCAGGGAGCTCTGCCTGAGCCCCAGGGAGGCTTTTCCACAAGGAGAAACTCGGAGAAACCTGTCAAATATGGAATCTCAACTGCCAGAAAACACTCAGCTCCGGGAAGTCTGGGAGTCTCCCAAACTCTGGTGGGAGAATCTTCAAACTCAAAGTTTACTCTCAATGTTGACAAACTGATCTGTTGCTTCCAGCATCAAAGCCCTCCCAGGGAACCCCCAGGATAATATTCTTTTTAATGTAAAGGTAAGTCATTGAAAGAGAGGACAATCTGAATTTAGCCAAATTTTTCTGATAAATTATTCAAAAGAATTGTTTATTGCCTACCCTGTATTTTCACAAATGGATTTACATTTAAGTTCTTTACCAGAGAAGCTGATAAACTATTTATAGGTTTTGCTCAGAAATATATTTTCTTTCTCATAATTTATTCTCCCCTGGTGTTTTTTAGGGCTGTTCCCTTAGTCACAGTTTTTGCACCCAGGCTGTGTGACTGAGACTTTGAACATGAGCAGAAGGAATAGGAAATAAAACAGCTGCTAATGCAAATATTGCAAATATGCTGTTGGAAGATATTTTAGGACTTTAAAATATTTTTCCATGAACTCCAATTGATTATTGTCAAACAAATAAATATTTAGCCTTGGCCTAAGACACTGGAGTTAACAAATCCTGTGCTAGTGGCCACAATTATAATTCCAAAGGTTTAGGTCTGACTAAGTAGAGACTTCCTTACCATTTTCCTGCAGTTTCCACTGGGCACTTTCCAGTAGGGCAGCAAAAGAAAACAGGGACAGTAAGGCAAAGAGGAGGTGAGACATCTGTAGGGGAAAAAACCAACATTGTTAAACTTCACTGAGGCTGGCTGAGTGTGCTCCAAAGTCAGGCTGGGGCTGGGCAGGGTGACAGGGACACAAAATGAGTCCCAGTGAGCTGAGGAACATCTTCCCAATCTGAGAACTCTGGGATTCCATCAAATCCCAGGTTTGTGCTGGAGCTGGAGCCATGATTTTGATCCCCTTGGGATTCTGATCCCAAGGCAGTTTAGAGAAGGAATCACTCTGAGGGAATTGTGTGAGCGGGTCTGGGCTGGTCCCGCGGTAAAGGTTCCTCGAGCAGGAAAAGCCCTGCTTGGTCCAGTGAGGCCAATTCCATGGAAAAGGCACTGGATGGAAGGATCAGGGGCTGCCCAGGCAGGTTTGGATCCCCAGCCATGGAGGTGGCACCGGGAGGTGGCACTGGGTGCTCTGGGCTGGGGATGGGCACGGGGTGAGCCCAAAGCTCTCTCCCAGCCCCAGGGATTCCCCGTGCCAAGGCACTGCCCTGGAGCAGCACTGGCATCACCTCCATCCACCCAAAGCCCAGTCTGGCTCAGCCCATCAGCACTTCCATGAAGGAAAAGGGTTGGAGAGCCCCAAGGAGCTGCTGAGGGGCTCTGCGGGGTTCTGTGCCCAGCTCTGCACAAGTGACAGCAGGGCAGTGCCCAGAGCAGAGCTGCCAGCTCCAGCTCCAGTCCTAGCTCCACTCCTAGCTCCAGTCCTGGCTCCAGTCCCAGCTCCAGTCCCAGCTCCAGTCCCAGCTCCAGTCCTAGCTCCAGTCCTAGCTCCGGTCCTAGCTCTGGTCCTAGCTCTGGTCCTAGCTCCAGTCCCAGCTCCAGTCCTAGCTCCAGTCCCAGCTCCAGTCCTAGCTCTGGTATCCCCCTGAGCTCTCACAGTCTGAGCTTGTGAACAATTTCAGGCAAAATTCCTCCTGGGCTCAGTGCCCCAGCTCAGTCTGCAGCAAGGGCTGGCAGTGGAGATCACTGCTGCTCCATGTCCAGTATATAAATGGATATTTCCCCTGAATTTGTTCCAAAGACCACCAGAACTCTCCACGAAACACCAAACACCTTTGCCAAATATTGTCATAACTACTGGGTGCATAAAAACTCTAATAACAGTTATTTTAGTTATTTAATAACAGTTATTTATTAACTTCCAGACCTTTTCAAACTGGAGAGTAAACCAAATTAACAGAAGTAGAATCTCTTCAAGAAAGAGATGGTGAATATAATTTTCAAAGCCTATTCTAACTACAGTGGGAGGCTGAGTGCAGGTGAAAACCACAAAATTAAGTGGTTTGAGTTGATTTTTTTCCTCCCAAACCACTCTTTTTGTAACAAAAGAGGAGTAGCCCTGCTGATTCCTTGAGGGCAGAGTGTGTTCCTGAGCAGATCAGTTCCTAGTGCAGCTCCTGCTGTTCTGAGCATCCCAAATCCCGGTCACAAATCATCCAGTGCTCTCTGGATTTGTAGCCAGCTCTTAATGGGACCAGGAGCTACAACAAAGTGTCTGGAGAGTGTCCAGGAAAGGCAGCAGCTCCTGTTGTGCTCAGACAGGGGCACAAGGCTCAGGGAAAACCCAGTTATTGTTGGAGAGAAATTACAGAATAACTTAGGTTGGAAAAGAGCTCTAAAATATATCCTATCCTATTAGCAGTGCTAATAACTGCTTCATTACACTCTTAGATTTCAGGCAGGATTAGCTGGAATTTCCAACAGAAAGATTCATTTGGCAACTTTCTGAAAATGTCTGGTTTCTGTCACAGAAACATGAAATTCATCACCACACTTCATAAACCTGAAACTGAACTTCAAAACATCAAAACAGCAGCTCAGACTGGGGGAGAGCAGTGGGATTTGTGCCTTCTTTTCTGTTCATCACAACTAAAACCTCCAAAACAGAAAAGTTTCTCCTGCTCTGAGGGAGAAGCTGCATGGTTCAGGTTTTTGATGAAAACAGGCAACAATTTGCATGGAAATGATTCACACTGTGGATGTGGGAGAGCAGCCCTCCCCATCTCAACATTTTATTGAAAACTCAATCAGAAACAAACTCACATTCTGAACAAGACCAGTGAGTGCCTGAGCACTTCAGAAATGAGAATATTCCAGCTCCAAATGTTCAGGGAATCAGGGAATTGCAATCATGGAACAATTTGGGTTGGAAGGACCTCAAATCCCCTCCAGTGCCACCCCTGCCATGGCAGGGACAGCTCCCACTGTCCCAGGTGCTCCCAGCCCTGTCCAGCCTGGAAGGAAAGGCTCTGTGGATTTTCTTTTATTGTTTGTGGGGTGATTGAACACAATTCTCATTATTTGCCAGGCAAACACTGCTTGTAAAAGAAGAAAATAAAAAAGGTTTGAAACTCAACTGGACACACTTTAGGAATTAATGGAGACACAATTCCATCCCAGGTGCTTTCCAGGGGCAGGATTCCCACAGTGCAGGGATTATAGTGCCAGAATCTGTTCCTTTGCTACAGAATCCCAGAATGGTTTGGGTTGGAAGGGACCTTAAAAATCATGCATTCCAGCCCTGCCATGGCAGGGACACCTTCCCCTGCCCCAGGTGCTCCCAGCCCTGTCCAGCCTGGCCTTGGCACTGCCAGGGATCCAGGGGCAGCCCCAGCTGCTCTGGGCACCAGGATCTCACAGGGAACAATTCCCAATTCCCAGCATCCCATCCATCCATCCCTGCCCTCTGGCCCTGGGAGCCATTCCCCTGTCCTGTCCCTCCAGGCTGGGCCAGGCAAGAAACGTGGCTTGAGTGGGGTCCCAGTCACCTCTGGTGGCTGAGCTGTGACCCCTGCCCAGGCCACTGGACACAGCCCCGGGCCCTGCATTCCCAGGTGGCCCTGATGACTCCCTGCCCACGGCAGAGTGCCCAGCCTGCTCCTCAAACAGGGAATTCCCTGGGCCAGAGCTGCTGGCAGAGCTGGGCACGGGCGGAGCACCGGGGAGGGCAGATCTGGGAGCAGCTCTGAGCAGGGAAGAGTGCTCCTGAACAGCCCCAGAGCTGCTCCCTTCCATCCCAAATGCTCCTGAACAGCCCCAGAGCTGCTCCCTTCCATCCCAAATGCTCCTGAACAGCCCCAGAGCTGCTCCCTTCCATCCCAAATGCTCCTGAACAGCCCCAGAGCTGCTCCCGAGCTGCTCCCTTCCACCCCAAATGCTGAGTAACCCCAGAGCTACTCCTTTCCATCCCAAATGCTGAACAACCCCAAAGCTGCTCCCTTGCATCCCAGCTGCTCAATAGCCCCAGAGCTGCTCCCTTCCATCCCAAATGCTCAAAAACCCCAAAGCTGCTCCCTTCCACCCCACCTACTGAATGTGGCTCAGAGGGGGTCAGGGGGCCATTCCTGACACAGAGCTGAGCAGCAGCCCCTGGCCTGCTCACCTGAGCTCTGTGGCAGTGACAGAATGGACAGGATGGAGCTCTGGGCACTCCCAAAGGGACCCGAAGCATTCCAGGTGACAAAGGTGTCCCCTCCTCATCCTGGTCCCTGCCTTTGAGGGCAGCTCAGAGGAGGCAGTGCTGGGCACCATTTTCCAGCTCACCAGCTTGGCCTCATCCCAAGAGCCCATCCTGGAGTGGGGAGCAGGAGCAGCTCAGGGGGCAGTGACCCCTCTCCTCCTGCAGCAAACACAGCCCTGGGCACAAGGGAGACAGAGCCCACGCTGGGCACAGGCTGGGCACAGATTTGTTCCCATTTAAAACAATTTGCAGGATCCAAAATCCCTTTTGGGATTGCACCAAGCCAGCAGTGACAGGCAGTCTGGAAGCTGAGGTCAGTCCCAGACACAAACAAGGGCAGCAGTGAATTTCTGTGCACATTTCCTAATCAGCTCACCATCCCTCTCTGCTTCCATGGCTGCACTTCTCTCCAGTCACAGTGGCTAACACAGAGCTCAACACAGCTCTTCAGCTGCCTGCTCGCTGCTGAAACATGCACAGCCCCTCCTAAACACAAATAACACCTAATAATTTATACAAATGCACATTTTCAGTGGGTGTCTGCATCAAGCCTTCCTAAATCCCTTGGCTCAGCTCTGGTCCCAGGACACATGGAGTGACCTGGTGCCCAAGAATCCCAAAAACCAGTCCTGGAGCACATTCGCCTCTGAGTGGAACTTCCATGATGGGATGGTTTCCTGTGATCCACCAGAGGAATTTTTAAATATTAAAACACAGAGATTGTGAAAAGCTCTTTCGATGACAGCTTGGTTTTCCACTATGAGCTCATTGATTCTGCAGGGGAAATTTGGAGGGGAGCAGCTTCTCCCCATCTTCTTACTCTGCTTCCCCTCTGACACTGACAGAGAATGTGCAAACCCTGTCCATGCTTTATCTAATGCCAAGGAAAAACTCCTTTTTGGCAGAAAAGACCCATTTGAAAACAGGTTTCCTTTCTTAACATTTTTGCTTTGTGGAATGACAAAGAAATCACCCCAATCCAGGAAAAAACCCTGTTTAACTTAGGGAAAATGAATCATTATAAAAAGTGTATAATCTGTATGATTCCTCCATATGGAATCCATTTTCCATGGATGTCCATTGGCAGATTAATGCCAAAGATCAAAATCTAAAAAATCCTTTTATTCTAAAAATCCTTTTATTCCCAGGATTTTTAATGCAGTAGCACTGAGAAGGGAACACTATTCTTTATCAGTAATTCTTTGTATTATTCTATAATTCTTTATCTGTAATTCAGTCATTTATGTGAATTCATCAGCAAATACTGTGTAATATTAGGGTACCAATGAATTTTCCTACAAAATTCCCATTAAGCCACTCCATGGAATCACTGAACCAAGCTCCAGCCTTGAGAAAAATACAAAACAACACAGGGGAAAAATATATCCAGCTTCTACCAAGAAGCAAAAAGCTTTATAGGGCAGAGATGAATTTGGTTTTGGTACCACTGGAGCAGCTGGCCAGGACAGGGATGTTGGGAATCTCCCCCTCCTTGGGTGGAGGGGACAGGAGATGGGCAGGGGCATCACTGAGCT